CTGCATAAGTGGGGCGCCCGCTCCAGTCATGCTTCAGTGATTCCCTATATAATCAGCCAATTTTTTTGCCACAAAAGGGGGCGGGCCCCCTGGCCCCCCTAAATCCGCCTCTGCCTACACCCTCTTATGTTACATCAACCTGGGACCTGTGTTATATAAGGCGCACTACACACTCCTGTTACATTCAGCAGAGACCTGTGTTATATGAGGCGCACTACACCCTCCTATGTTACATTTACAAGGGACCCGTGTTACATATGGTGTACTTCACCCTCCTGTTACAACCGACAGGGACCTGTGCCTTATATGGTGTACTACACCCTCCTATGTTACATTCCACAGGGACTTGTGTTATATAAGGTGTACTACATCCTTCTTATGTTACATCCACCAGGGACATGTGTTATACAAGTTACACTTCACCCTCCTATGTTACATTCACCAGAGACCTGTGCTATATAAGGTGTACTACATCCTCCTATGTTACATCCACAAGGGACCTGTGCTTTATATGGTGTACTACACCCTCCTATGTTACATTCACCAGAGACCTTGCTATATAAGGTGTACTACATCCTCCTATGTTACATCCACAAGGGACCTGTGCTTTATATGGTGTACTTCACCCTCCTATGTTACATTCACCAGAGACCTGTGCTATATAAGGTGTACTACATCCTCCTATGTTACATCCACAAGGGACCTGTGTTATATAAGGTGCACTACACACTCCTATGTTACATTCGCCAGGGACCTGTGTTATATAAGGTGTACTACATCCTCCTATGTTATGTACACCAGGGACTTGTGTTATATAAGGTGCACTACACACTCCTATGTTACATTCACCAGAGACCTGTAATAAAAGGTGCACTATATCCTAATATGTTACATTCACCAGGGGCTTATATCATATAAGGCATACCGTACACCCTCCTTTGTTACATTCACCAGAGACCTGTAGTAAAAGGTGCACTATATCGTCATATGTTACATTCACCAGGGTCTTATATCATATAAGGCATACCGTACACCCTCCTATGTTACATTTACAAGGGACCCGTGTTATATATGGTGTACTTCACCATCCTGTTACAACCGACAGGGACCTGTGCCTTATATGGTGTACTACACCCTCCTATGTTACATTCCACAGGAACTTGTGTTATATAAGGTGTACTACATCCTCCTATGTTACATCCACCAGGGACCTGTGTTATACAAGTTACACTACACCCTCCAATGTTACATTCACCAGAGACCTGTGCTATATAAGGTGTACTACATCCTCCTATGTTACATCCACAAGGGACCTGTGTTATATAAGGTGCACTACACACTCCTATGTAACATTCACCAGAGACCTGTGTTATACAAGGTGTACTACACCCTCCTATATTACATTCGCCAGGGACCTGTGTTATATAAGGTGTACTACATCCTCCTATGTTACATCCACAAGGGACCTGTGTTATATAAGGTGCACTACACACTCCTATGTAACATTCACCAGAGACCTGTGTTATACAAGGTGTACTACACCCCCCTATATTACATTCGCCAGGGACCTGTGTTATATAAGGTGTACTACATCCTCCTATGTTATGTACACCAGGGACTTGTGTTATATAAGGTGCACTACACACTCCTATGTTACATTCACCAGAGACCTGTGCTATATAAGGTGTACTACATCCTCCTATGTTATGTACACCAGAGACCTGTGTTATATAAGGTGCACTACACACTCCTATGTAACATTCACCAGAGACCTGTGTTATACAAGGTGTACTACACCCCCCTATATTACATTCGCCAGGGACCTGTGTTATATAAGGTGTACTACATCCTCCTATGTTATGTACACCAGGGACTTGTGTTATATAAGGTGCACTACACACTCCTATGTTACATTCGCCAGGGACCTGTGTTATATAAGGTGTACTACACCCTCCTATGTTACATTCACCAGAGACCTGTGCTATATAAGGTGTACTACATCCTTCTATGTTACATCCACAAGGGACCTGTGCTTTATATGGTGTACTACACCCTCCTATGTTACATTCACCAGAGACCTGTGCTATATAAGGTGTACTACATCCTCCTATGTTACATCCACAAGGGACCTGTGTTATATAAGGTGCACTACACACTCCTATGTAACATTCACCAGAGACCTGTGTTATACAAGGTGTACTACACCCCCCTATATTACATTCGCCAGGGACCTGTGTTATATAAGGTGTACTACATCCTCCTATGTTATGTACACCAGAGACCTGTGTTATATAAGGTGTACTACATCCTCCTATGTTATGTACACCAGAGACCTGTGCTATACAAGGTGTACTACACACTCCTATGTTACATTCGCCAGGGACCTGTGTTATATAAGGTGTACTACATCCTCCTATGTTATGTACACCAGGGACTTGTGTTATATAAGGTGCACTACACACTCCTATGTTACATTCACCAGAGACCTGTAATAAAAGGTGCACTATATCCTCATATATTACATTCACCAGGGGCTTATATCATATAAGGCATACCGTACACCCTCCTTTGTTACATTTACAAGGGACCTGTGTTATATAAGGTACAGTACATCCTCAAATGTTACATTCACCAGGGACCTGTTATATACAAGTTACTACACCCTCCTATGTTACATTTACCATGGACCCGTGTTATATGAGGTGTACTAAACCGTCATATGTTACATCCACCAGGAACCTGTGTTATAAATTGCATTACACCATCCTATGTTAAATCCACCAGAGACCTGTGTTATATAAGGTGCACTACACCCTCAAACGTTACATTCACAAAGGACCTGTTTTATATATGGTGTACTACACCCTCCTATGTTACATTTACCAGGGACCTGTGTTATATATGGTGTACTACACCTTCCTATGTTACATTTACCAGGGACCTGTGTTATATATGGTGTACTACACCTTCCTATGTTACATTTACCTGGGACCTGTGTTATATGAGGTGTACTACACCTTTTTATGTTACATTTACCAGGGACCGGTGTTATATGAGGTGTACTACACCTTCCTATGTTACATTTACCAGGTACCCGTGTTATATAAGGTGTACTACACCTTCCTATGTTACATTTACCAGGTACCCGTGTTATATGAGGTGTACTACACCTTCCTATGTTACATTTACCAGGGACCTGTGTTATATGAGGTGTACTACACCTTCCTATGTTACATTTACCAGGTACCCGTGTTATATATGGTGTACAACTACCTTCTATGTTACAACCACCATAGACCTGTATTATATAAAATGCACTTCACACTCCTATGTTATATCCACCTTGGACAAACCACCAGAGACCTCTATTATATAAAATGCACTTCACCCTCCTTTGTTACATTCACCAGGGACCTGTGTTATATACGGTGCACTACATCCTCTTATGTTACATCCATCAGGGACCTGTGTTATATACGGTGCACTACACCCTCCTATGTTACATTCACCAGGGACCTGTGTTATATACGGCGCACTACACCCTCCTGTTACATTCAACAGAGTCCTGTGTTATATACGGTGCACTACACCCTCCTATGTTACATTCACCAGGGACCTGTGTTATATACGGCGACTACACCCTCCTGTTACATTCAACAGAGTCCTGTGTTATATACGGTGCACTACATCCTCTTATGTTACATCCATCAGGGACCTGTGTTTCATAAGGTGTACTACACACTCCTGTTCCATACAGCAGAGACCTGTGTTATATGCGGTGACCTACCAGTAAGGGATCCACTGATTGCCTAAGAGGGGGCCCGCTTCAGTCATGCTTCAGTTATTCGCTATATAATCAACCAATTTTTTTGCCACAAAAGGGGGCGGGCCCCCTGGCCCCCCTAAATCCGCCTCTGACTACACCCTCTTTTGTTACATCCACCAGGGACCTGTGTTATATAAGGTGCACTACACACTCCTGTTACATTCAGCAGAGACCTGTGTTATATGAGGTGCATTACATCCTCCTATGTTACATTTACCAGGGACCAGTGTTATATATGGTGTATTTCACCCCCCTGTTACAACCGACAGGGACCTGTGCTTTATATGGTGTACTACACCCTCCTATGTTACATTCACCAGAGACCTGTGTTATATAAGGTGTACTACATCCTCCTATGTTACATTTACCTGGGACCTGTGTTATACAAGGTGCACTACACCCTCCTGTTACATTCAACAGGGACCTGTGTTATATAAGGTGCACTACAGCCTCCTATGTTATGTACACCAGGGACCTGTGTTATATAAGGTCAATCACTATGACCTTATTTTCTACAATGTTCTACAGATCTTGTTTTGCTGATTATTAATTCCTATGGCAGTTTCTTACGATATAATATAAGTTTTAAGTATACAGGTAAAAACATGGAAACTAGCAAACAATCTTCATTTTAATGGGGTTACGCTTTAATAAGTCATCTGATATTTTTGGTACAAACACTAAATGTACATATACCTCAACATAGCATTTCTGTGCACCCCAAGTGAGTTAAAAATGAGAAAGTTCAACATCCTTTCGTTTGTGGAAAATATAAGGAACATGCAAATCCTGATAATGTGCACACCTTTAGAATATGTACTAACACCCTACATAATATAAATGTTCTAGCTAGAACACTGTAGGCGTTAGCTAGACAAACCAACTACCCTATGTGGACAGTGGGATATGTTAGACAGTGGTAAAACAAAATTCCACACGAAGTAACATAATTATGTAAGTATTCAGGAATTGAAATAAAACCCATAGATCTTTAGCCAAAAACCTTCAACATTTAACTTAATTTGCAAAGTAGAAGAAAAAACTAATTTTCATTGTGCTTTGTCACATCTCTTTTTGAGTCCAAAATTTAAAGAACTAAAAGGAAGACTGGTGTACCTGAATCTAGATTTCAACATCAAAACGAGTACATTTTGTAGTAAATCAAAAACACTCCTCATATAACCACTACTTACAAATTTATTTTCTCATATAACCACCACTTACAAATTTATTTTAAGATAATGATTAACTACAAATTATACACATATATTCATTTAATATATACAAATAGTGAATGAACATTTAACAATAAATGATTCAAATATGATAGTGATGTTGCAAGGTGAGACATACATATATGTAGATGAATAAATGCAAAAAATGTAGCAACATCAGATAGTTCACATAATTATGATCGTTAAATAATGTATACAAAAATGAAATGAAATTTTTATATTGATTAAAATTAATTTTACAATAATGTTATGAATGTTATAAGTGTATATACATATATATATTTATAAATGTAAATGATTCAAAGTAAAGAGTAATAACTTTAAAATTTCACACCTATTTACAAATTCAGATAAGTTATATATAAATAAAGTATTTGTACTTGATTTCAACTAATCATTCAAATTGATTACATGTTTAGCAAGTACAATTTTTGCAATTGAAAACTCTCTTTAAAAATTTAGTAAATATATAGAATATTTCACCCGTAATATACTGATTAAAATAAAAAAACACTATTTATTAAATAAATTATTTGAATGTGTAGTTACTCATAAATATAGCATTTTATAGGCGAGTCTGAAGTTTTGTTGTGGCTCAGGTAAAAATAAAATCTGGTCAAGAAAGTTCAATGCATTATATTGTTACTATTTATATATGTTCCTGCACAATTCATCATCTTAAACAGAAACAAAGTAAGAATTGATTTTATTGTCCATAATAATAGTAAGCAAACTTATATTCAAAGTAAAACACAATCAAGTAGATTATTTTTTTTTTAAATATCACATATTTCTTTTACAAGTTATCTATTAATGTGTATAAATAACTGCCATCATTTTTGCATATGCACAAATAAGAATAACAATATAGATATAAGAACAAAGTCGAATACATTCAGTTAAAATTTAACACCTGTCTTTTAATGCTTTTGTCAATAAACAAAACTCTTAAAGAGCCTGTGTTGCTCACCTGCATCTTTCAGAATGGCCACTTTTAAGTAAAAATCATCATAAAAGGAGAATAACTTTATTAGTTAACTTGCAATTTAAGTCATGTTAACGCATTTGTAGATTCTATTCAGCTGAATATTTTTTTGTTTTTAAAGTTTCTATATATCTATTATAGTTTTCAAGATAAAAGGCAAAAAAGAAAAAAAATAGTAATAATTATCATTAAATGGTAAATAACTCAAAAAATTTAAACAAATCAACTAAAGATTTCAGCCATTATGGCTTATCTGTAGATGTTGTCTTAGTGATCATTTTTCTATTACAAATTTTTATCTATCTATTATAGTTTTCAAGGAAATAGACAAAACTGCAAAATTTGGGAAAATTGTTATGAAAGGGCAATAACTTCATAAGAAGTCGATTAACAATTTCTGTCATATTGACTTATTTGTTGATCTTGTCTTGCCAATAATTTTTGCATTTTAAAGTTTTATTTATCTATCATAGTTTTCAAGAAATTGGCAAACCTGGAAAAAATAGGGAAACATCGTCATTAAAGGGCAACAACTTCAATAAGGGGTTGACTGGCGATTTCAATAATGTTGACTTATTTATTAATTTTCTTGTCTTGTTGATCATTTTTGCTATTAAAGTTTCTGTCTATCTATCGTAATTCGAAATAATAGGCAAACATAACTTTTTACTAAACTCAATTAAGGGCAATAACTCGTATAAGAAGTGATCTGACAGTTTTGATGTCAAATGATATTATGTAGATCTCATCATTCTGAAATATTTGTTCCTGCCCAATTTTCTTTATCTATAGTGCTTTCAAGTTAATAGACAAAAATTGCTCTTTACTCCTATATTATATTTTTAGCCATGTGAACCATGTTTGTCGGCAGGCAGGTTGAGATGACACACTTTTTAAAATAGATATCCCGTTGATAATTTTTGCCATGTTTGGTTAAATTTGGTTCAGTAGTTGCAGAGGAGATGATCTATGTATAATTTAACAGAAGACGACAGTTGACAATAAGTGATGTCAAAAGCTCACAATGGACCTCGTGCCAGGTGAACTAAAAAGGCAATTAGTAATAAAATCTGTATGTATGGTTAAGAGAAAACAGGTTTACAAATAAATAAGATGTTTACTGTAAATATACTTTTATATGTCAGGGCTGGGCTGATAGATGTTACATGATGGTAATTTTTATACAAGAACGGTAAAAGTGACGCCACAAAAATTGAAACATGATCTGTGTTTTGTGGTAATTGGCATTGTGCATATAAGAGGGGCGAAAGATACCAGAGGGACATTCAAACTCCTAGATCAAAAATAAACTGACAACGCCATGGCTACAAAAGAGAAAGACAAACAGACAAACAATAGTACACAAAACACAACATAAGATTCATAACATTTGGTTGAGGCAAACTAAAGTAAGAGAAGGGATACCAAAAAGTCAACAATTTTTCCATTTGTAGAAGGGCATAACTTTAGAACAGTAAAAGTGACGCCACCAAAATTCAAACTTGATCTGTGTTTTGTGGTAATAAGCATTGTGTATAAATTTCATAACATTTGGTTGAGGCAAACTAAAGTTAGAGAAGGGAAACCAATTTTGGGACGGACGTACAGACGGACAAGGGTAAATCGCAATACCCCCTCCGCTACGGCGGGGGCATAAAAATTGATCTGCACTGATTTTTCAAACTTGTTCTAGACATTGCTGACCTTCGATATAAATTCTATAAATATCTTGCAAGAATAGTACACAGGAGAGCACTTACAAGACTGGATGGATGCAGGGTATTTCTATGTCCCTTGCAATGTGCCAAACAGGGGATGATAAGTAATGGATAATAGATGAATTTCACCATTCTTGCATTTTCTAGTACATTTCCTATGTCACAATAATGTTAATATATATACATATCTATATATCTAGCTCTGAAAATAACTCTGATGCTGTATAAATAAACTTTTTGTTACTTTGTTCTTGAATTACAAAATGTTGTGGCAACAATTTCACTAAGATTTTGTACTAAAAAATAAATGTATTTTAAGAGATTCCACCTCTATATTCATTACTATGAATCAACTTTGGTATTCACTTTAGCTTTGATAGGGTGAGCAGATTCTAGTAACACAATGGGCAGATTATACTTTTGGTATTCCTAATCTTTGTCGGTTTCCTAAACGTAGAAAAGCTTTTATCAGCTGGCTCCTCTCCCTTGCCTTTAATATATCATAAGGTCCAATGAAATGCAGAGTAGCTTTGTCTTCTGGACCTAATTTATCTTTGATATGAGTACAATACCTGGGTGATGTAGACAGGCATGTTATCAGTATCTGAAAAGAAAAATCAGTTATACTTAATTAGTATACCACTAGAAAGTTACTTGTTACCTGCCCAAGAGATGGTATAAAAGACACTTTAAACTGATATTTGTGAATATAGCACACTGGAAAAAAAGTAGAAGTACCCAGTGATCTTGCTCCACAAAATGATACCCCTTCCCCTTGCAAAGTCCATGATTTGCTAAGGGGAAACCCTAAAAATAATTTTAATAAAAAAATTAAAGAACCTCACATACCCCACACCCCCACATTGTCACTTGACAAACAAAATCTCACCAGATTCCTAAGTTCAAAGACTCATAACTCTACAAAAGTCAACTGATAAAAATTTTCTTGTGGATATGCACAATTAACATATTATGTCCTCATAAACTACAAAGTTTCAACTGTTGCAGTAGTATAATTAGGCCAAAATTCTAAGTTCTAAGGGGCATAACTCCTAGAAAAAAAATTGAATCGTAATTTCCTGTCGATAAGCACATCTACATAGTATGTCCTTATTATCTACAAAGTGTCATGAAATTTTGTTGTGTGGTTTCAGAGAAGTTGCGATGACAAACTGTTGCAGTAGTATATTTTGGCCAAAATTCTAGGTAAAAGGGGCATAACTCCTAGAAAAAAATTGAATCGTAATTTCTTGTCGATATGCACATCTACATAGTATGTCCTTATTATCTACAAAGTTTCATGAAATTCTGTTGTGTGGTTTCAGAGGAGTTGCGATGACAAACTGTTGCAGTAGTATATTTTGGCCAAAATTCTAAGTTAAAGGGGCATAACTCCTACAATAAAAATTGAATCGTAATTTCCTGCCGATATGCACATCTACATAGTATGTCCTTATTATCTACAAAGTTTCATGAAATTCTGTTGTGTGGTTTCAGAGAAGTTGGGATGACAAACTGTTGCAGTAGTATATTTTGGCCAAAATTCTAAGTTAAAGGGGCATAACTCCTACAAAAAAAAATAATCGTAATTTCCTGTCGATATGCACATCTACATAGTATGTCCTTATTTGTTGTGTGGGGTATAATAAACTGCTGACACAGAGAAATGTCTTGCTGTCAGCAGAAAATTCTGAAAAAGACAATTTGAGGGACAGCAGCATTGACAATTAATACAAAGTCGCTAGACCATGGCAGGGCATCCAAATAATAAAACTGATTTGTACTGATAGTAATGCAATTTTATAGAAAATATCATTTATCTATCAAAAGGGATCATTAATTTTACTGGACTGAAAGTGTTGATCATTTAAGAGTTGATCGAAACATTTTAATCAATTAGCTATATATTAACATTACCTTTGTCTCATGGAGCAAAAGGCCAAGACATTCTTTTTTGAAGCAAGAATTGCCTAGTCCAATGATCAGCTGTCCAACATGTTGGCTAAATCCTCTTATCTTTGATGGATCCATAGTTTGAAGTGTCTCCTTATCAATAGCCTCTGGTTTTTGTCTAGTAACATGAATCTTTTGATCAACTAATGAATCATTGGTTGAAACTTTAACCTAAGAACAAGGAAAACCATATAGGACCCACTAATTCATAATTAATAACTACTGTACATTCAGAAATTATTGCAAGGTTTCTTTATACAAATAATTTGACTGGTTTAATATCGCAATAATAACTAGAGGCTCTTAAGAGCCGGTGTTGCTCACCTTGGTCTATAGCTATGTGTTGCAGTGCATATTAAACAAAGGACACTCTACATTATTTAAGACAAGAATAGAATTCATGACAAAACTCTCTGTTTTTGTGTCAGTGACTTGTTTGTAGAACTTACTTTACTAAACATTTTTGCTTACAGTTATCTCTATCTATAATGAGCTTGGCCCAGTAGTTTCAGAGCAGAAAATTTTTGTAGAAGATTAACTCCTGAAGTGGTCAATTGACAATTTTGATCATGGTGACTTATTTGTAGAGCTTACTATGCTGTTTACAGTTTATCTCTTTCTATTATAATATTCAAGGTTATAACCAATAAACTGCTTCGCTGAGCGCAGCTGGATACGCCCCCAGAGGTCCAACCCTGAACAGTTGGGGCAAAAATGGACACAATATTCAAGCTTGATACAGGTCTGAATTTGGATTGTAATTAAATATTTGACATATTATAGGTTTCTGAATAAATGTAGCCAAAGAACTTGGAATTGGTTATATGAATAAAACCCCAAAACTCGGAAACGGTAATTCTGAAATTTATAAAAAATGAAAGGGAGCTCACGTCAATAGATATAAACAATTCACCAAAGTTTCATGCATATTGGTTAAAGCTTTTTTGAGTTAATGTCCGACATGTTGACGAAGGACGGACGGACAGACGGTCAACGGTATACCATAATACGACCCGTAAACGGGCATATAAAAACTGCAAAATTTCCTTAAAATTAACAATTCAGGGCAGCAACCCAACAACAGGTTGTCTGATGCATTTGAAAATTTCAGGGCAGAAAGATTTTTACCTGATGAACAATTTTACTCCTTCTCAGATTTGCTCTAAATGCTTTAGTTTCAGATATATAAGCCAAAAACTGCATTTTACCACCAGGTTCTATTTTTAGCCATGGCAGCCATCTTGGTCAATGGGCGTGGTCATCGGATACATTTTTTAAAGAAGATACCCTAAGCATAATTTAGGCCAAGTTTGGTTTAATTTGGCACAGTAGTTTCAGAGGAGAAGATTTATGTAAAAGACTACAATAAAATGCTCGAACCCTGAACAGTTGGGGCAAGTATGGACACAACATTCAAGCTTGATACAGCACTGAATTTGGATTGTGATTAAATATTTGACATAGCATAGGTTTCTGACACAGAATGAATGTGCTCTAAGCACTTGAAATTTTTAAATTTACCTATTCAAACCATATCATTATTATTTGCTTTTATATATAAATCAGAAATAACCAATTTAAAATGGAAAATTTTAAAGAAAAAAAAAGGAAAAAAAAATCCTCCCCCCTAATTTTTTGAACCCCCTTATGATTCATCACCCCCAAACTCAATCCCAGCCTTCCCTTTGTGGTATGGTACCTTGCAGTACAATTTCATAGAGATCCATACACCTGAACACAAGTTATTGTCTGGAAACTAGAAAAATGCTTGTTTTTTGGCCCCTTTTTGGCCCCATATTCCTAAACATTTAAAGCAATTACCCCCAAACTCAAACCCAGCTTTCCCTTTGTGATATGGAACCTTGTAGTACAATTTCATAAAGATCCATACACTTACACACAAGTTATTGTCCTGACTCTAGAAAAATGCTTGTTTTTTTACCCTTTTTGGCCCCTAATTTCTAAAATTTTGAAGCAATTACCCCCAAAATCAATCCCAGCCTTCCCTTTGTGGTATGGTACCTTGCAGTATTATTTCAGAGAGATCCATACACTTGAACACAAGTTATTGTCTGGAAACTAGGAAAATGCTTATTTTTGGCCCCCTTTTCGCCCCTTATTCTTAAACATTTGGGCAATTACCCCCAAACTCAATTCCAGCTTTCCCTTTGTGATATAGAACCTTGTAGTACAATTTCAGAAAGATCCATAGACTTACACACAAGTTATTGTCATGAAACTAGAAAAATGCTTGTTTTTTGCCCCTTTTTTGGCCCCTAATTCCTAAAATTTTGAGGCAATTACCCCCAAAATCAATCCAAACATTCCCTTTGTGATATGGAACCTTGCAGTACAATTTCAGAGAGATACATACACTTGCACAAGTTATTGTCTGGAAACTAGAAAAATGCTTATTTTTGGCCCCTTATTCCTAAACGTTTTGGGCAATTACCCCCAAACTCAATTCCAGCTTTCCCTTTATAATATGGAACCTTGTAGTACAATTTCAGAAAGATCCATACACTTACACACAAGTTATTGTCATGAAACTAGAAAAATGCTTGTTTTTTGCCCCTTTTTTAGACCCTAATTCCTAAAATTTTAAGGCAATTACCCCCAAAATCAATCCAAACATTCCCTTTGTGATATGGAACTTTGTGGTACAATGTCAAGAGAGATCCATACACTAACACACAAGTTATGTCAGGAAGTTACAAAAATGCTTATTTTTGGCCCCTAATTCCTTAACTGTTGGTACCATAATCCCCAAAATCAATCCCAACCTTCCTTTTGTGGTATCGAACCTTATGGTAAAATTTCATAGAGATCCATTCACTTAAACTAAAGTTAGAGTGCGAAAACCAATGGGTCTTCGGACGACGACGACGTCATACCAATATATATATATATATACGACCACAAATTATTTTTGTGGTCGTATAAAATTTACGAAAAATTGTGAAAAAATGACTTTAAAGGGCAATAACTCTTTTTGGGGTGAATTGACAATTTTTGTCATGTTTGACTTATTTGTAGAGCTTACTTTGCTGAACAATTTTGCTGTTTACAGTTTATCTCTATCTATTATAATATTCAAGATAATAACCAAAAACTGCAAAATTTCCTTAAAATTACAAATTCAGAGGCAGCAACCCAACAACGGATTGTCTGATGCATCTGAAAATTTCAGGGCAGATAGATCTTGGCCTGATGAACATATTCACCCCATGTCAGATTTGCTCTAAATGCTTTAGTTTCAGAGATATAAGCCAATAAAATGCTCCGCAGGGCGCAGCTTGATACGACCGCAGAGGTCGAACCCTGAACAGTTGGGGCAAGTATGGACACAACATTCAAGCTTTATACAGCTTTGCATTTGGATTGTGATTAAATATTTGACACAGCATAGGTTTCTGACACAGAATGAATGTGGTCTAAGAACTTAAAAATTTTAAATTGGACATTCACCTATTATGGTCCAATATCCAAAATCTAAATACATGGTTAGATTCAGCATATCAAATAACCCCAAGAATTCAATTTTTGATGAAATCAAACAAAGTTTAATATTGGACCCTTTTGACCTCAATGTGGACAAAGTTGATAATGGGGCCCAAAAATCAAAAATCTAAATACATGGTTAGATTCAGCATATCAAAGAACCCCATATATTCAATTTTTGTTGAAATCAAACAAAGTTTAAATACTGGACCCCGATTTGGACCAACTTGAAAACTGGGCCCATAATCAAAAATCTAAATACATGTTTAGATTCAGCATATCAAAGAACCCCAAGAATTCAATTTTTGTTAAAATCAAACTAAGTTTAATTTTGGACCCTTTGGACCTTAATGTAGACCAATTTGAAAACGGAACCAAAAATTAAGAATCTAAATACACGGTTAGATTCGGCATATCAAAGAACCCCAATAATTTAATTTTTGATGAAATCAAACAAAGTTTAATTTTGGACCCTTTGGACCTCAATGTGGACCAATTTAAAAACGGCGCCCAAAATCCAAAAACTTAATACACGGTTAGATTCAGCATATTAAAGAACCCCAAGAATTCAAGAATAAAACCCCATTGAAATTGGTCAAGAAATAAGCAATTTATACGAAGTATCTTTTTTGCACAATACTGTGCAATTGAATATTTCCTGCTATTGCGCAATACTGTACAATTGACAATTTCTTGCTACTGCGCAATATTGTGCTATTGGATATTTCTTGCTATTGCGCAATACTGTGCAATTGAAGATTTCTTGCTATTGCGCAATACTGTGCAATTGAAGATTTCTTGCTATTGTGCAATACTGAGCAATTGAAAATTTCTTGCTATTGCACAATACTTTTTATATAAAAATTTACACATCCTGTTTGGTGTGTATCTCCTACCATATCATTATTATTTGCTTTTAAATATAAATCAGAAATAACCAACTTAAAATGGAAAATTTTAAAAGAAAAAAAAAAGGAAAAAAAGAAAAAAAAGAAATCCCCCCCCAAATTTTTTGAACCCCCTTATGATTCATCACCCCAAACTCAATCCCAGCCTTCCCTTTGTGGTACGGTACCTTGCAGTACAATTTCATAGAGATCCATACACTTGAACACAAGTTATTGTCTGGAAACTAAAAAAAATGTGTTTTTTGGCCCCTTTTTGGCCCCAAATTCCTAAACGTTTAATGCAATTACCCCAAAACTCAATTCCAGCTTTCCCTTTGTGATATGGAACCTTGTAGTACAATTTCAGAAAGATCCATACACTTACACACAAGTTATTATCATGAAACTAGAAAAATGCTTGTTTTTTGCCCCTTTTTTGGCCCCTAATTCCTAATATTTTGAGGCAATTACCCCCAAAATCAATCCCAGCATTCCCTGTGTGATATGGAACCTTGTGGTACAATTTCAGAGAGATCCATACACTTTAACACAAGTTATTGTCTGGAAACTAGAAAAATGCTTATTTTTGGCCCCTTTTTGGCCCCTTATTCCTAAACGTTTTGGGCAATTACCCCCATACTCAATTCCAGCTTTCCCTTTGTGATATGGAACCTTGTAGTACAATTTCAGAAAGATCCATACACTTACACACAAGTTATTATCATGAAACTAGAAAAATGCTGGTTTTTTGCCCCTTTTTTGGCCCCTAATTCCTAAAATTTTGAGGCAATTACCCCCAAAATCAATCCCAGCATTCCTTTTTTGATATGGAACCTTGTGGTACAATGTCAGAGAGATCCATACACTAACACACAAGTTATGTCTGGAAGTTACAAAAATGCTTATTTTTGGCCCCTTTTGGCCCCTAATTCCTTTACTGTTGGTACCATAACCCCCAAAATCAATCCCAACCTTCCTTTTGTGGTATTGAACCTTATGGTAAAATTTCATAGAGATCCATTCACTTAAACTAAAGTTAGAGTGCGAAAACCAATGTGTCTTCGGACGATGCCGGACGACGACGCCAACGTCATACCAATATACGACCACAAAAATTTTTTTGCGGTCGTATAAAAACTGCATTTTACACCCATGTTCTATTTTTAGCCATGGTGGCCATCTTGGTTGATGGGCGGGGTCATCGGATAGTTTTTTTTATAACTAGATACCCTAAGGATGATTTAGGCAAAGTTTGCTTTAATTTGGACCAGTAGTTTCAGAGGAGAAGATTTTTGTAAAAGTTAAGGGACGACGACGACGACGGACGCCAAGTGATGAGAAAAGCTCACTTGGCCCTTTGGGCCAGTTGAGCTAAAAATTGCATTCTGATATCTGATACATAGTTCTGTATGCAGATTTCTTAAGTCTAGTCTTGTAAGTGCTCTCCTGTGTACTATTCTTGCCAAATATTTAAAGAATTTATATCGAAGGTTTATATCAGATGGCTTAAAATTTCTCCACTGATTTTTTTCAAAAAACTAAAATCCATGAACATGTATTGTAGCTTTTGCTCATACCACATGTACCATGAAAATATAAGTACTTTCACAGTTTTTGAGTTATATGTTTTACAATTGGAAATGAAAATTAATTGTTGACACACAAGCCTGAAATTTTTTTACTTTATTTATATATGAAGAAGTACCTCTGCAACTGTCATTATCTGTATTACATCAGGCATTTCATTTGATGAAATTCTGAAAGTTAAGTCTGGAACTGCCACAACACGTACATCCTTGATCATGGTTTCCTCGACCAATCCTATACTACAAAAAGAACCATTTTCAAAATTAACCTTTCATCATTTTCATATACAGGGTACCAGGATTTGATAATTTAAGTCGAGTCAATCGATTGCGATCTTGTTTTAATCAGTTATTTAAGGTGGTTACAATATTTCATGGATTTTAAATATGTCAAGGGCTAAATATTTTTGTGAGGTTTTTTGTTCATGCTTTTCTTGTCACTGATTTTGATCTTCCTTAATGTTTATAGGACAAGGTACAATTTGGGGTAAAATTTTCCTTAACATAAACTGTAATCCAATGAAATATTTGGCTTCTATTCTTGTATGAAATATTTGCCTTTCATTGGTTACACAACCATAAATAGAGGCTCTAAAGAGCCTGTGTCGCTCACCATGGTCTATGTGCATATTAAACAAAGGACACAGATGGATTCATGACAAAATTGTGTTTTGGTGATGGTGATGTGTTTGTAGATCTTACTTTACTGAACATTCTTGCTGCTTACAATTATCTCTATCTATAATGAACTTGGCCCAGTAGTTACAGTGGAAAATATTTTGTAAAAATTTACAAAAATTTACAAAATTTATGAAAATTGTAAAAAATTGACTATAAAGGGCAATAACTCCTTTAGGGGTCAATTGACAATTTTGGTCATGTTGACTTATTTGTAGATCTTACTTTGCAGTACATTATTGCTGTTTACAGTTTATCTCTATCTATAATAATATTCACGATAATAACCAAAAGCTGCAAAATTTTCTTAAAATTACCAATTCAGGGGCAGCAACCCAACAACGTGTTGCCTGATTGGTCTGAAAATTTCAGGGCAGATAGATCTTGACCTAATGAACAATTTAATCCTGTAAGATTTGCTCTAAATGCTTTGGTTTCAGAGATATGAGCCAAAAACTGCATTTTACCCTATGTACTATTTTTTAGCCATGTCAGCCATCTTGGTTCGCGGCCGGGGTCATCAAACACATTTTTGAAACGAGATACCCTTATGATGATTGTGGACAAGTTTGGTTAAATTTGTCTTAGTAGTTTCAGAGGAGAAGATTTTTGTAAAAGATTACAAAAATTTACGAAAAATGGTTAAAAATTGACTATAAAGGGCAATAATTCCTTAAGGGGTCATCTGACCATTTTGGTCAAGTTGACTTATTTGTAGATCTGTCTTTGCTGAACATTATTGCTGTTTACAGTTTATCTCTATCTATAATAATATTCAAGATAATAACCAAAAACAGCAAAATTTCCTTAAAATTACCAATTCAGGGGCAGCAACCCAACAACGGGTTGTCAGATTCATCTGTAAATTTAAGGGCAGATAGATCTTGACCTGATAAACAATTTTACCCCATGTCAGATTTGCTCTAAATGCTTTGGTTTCAGAGATATAAGCCAAAATCTACATTTTACCCCTATGTTCTATTTTTAGCCATGGTGGCCATCTTGGTTGGTTGGCCGGGTCACCGGACACATTTTTTAAACTAGATACCCCAATGATGATTGTGGCCAAGTTTGGTTAAACTTGGCCAAGTAGTTTCAGAGGAGAAGATTTTTGTAAAAGTTAACAGACGACAGATGCCAAGTGATGAGAAAAGCTCACTTGGCCCTTTGGGCCAGGTGAGCTAAAAAGACAGTGTCTTAATACAATCATACAATTGATAAGACCTAGGTACGACCTATAAAATGGTGAACTGCAAGATATTGTGTTTTGTGGTAATAAGCATTGTGTATAAGCTTCAACACATTTGGTTGAAACAAACTAAAGTAAGAGAACGGAAACCAACTTTGGCAGACGTACAGACGGACAAGGGTAAAACTTAATGCCCCCTCTGCTACAGCAAGGGCATAAAAACTTGTTAAGAGTATTCCAAATGTGTCCATATGGGGACACTGAACTGCAACAGATTTTAAATTTGTTACTAAAGAGCCCTTTTGTGAATGCCCAATTTTGTCCACTTAAAAAACACACCAAAATGTGTCTGTATGAAGTGAAAACATCCATTGTTTATGAATGCTTATCGTGTCAATATTTTTAAATCACTTAAACCTGTCGAGCATTATTAAATATTGATTCGTATTCACATATATGTTGTTTACAAATCCAATCAATATTAATAAAGGAACAGTAGTTTTGTTTTGTTGTTGTTAAAATGGGACAGTAACTATATAATCATGATAATAGCCCAGATACCATTTATGTAGGAAGCAGGCCATGCGATACCCTCCTATATTATTAAGATATTTAACGTTTGGCATCACTGGGGTATATTTGTGCAAAAAAAGTTCACTTATAATTAATAAACAATAAATTTAACTGTACAAAACTAATCAATTACAATTTTTATGTTCATTCTAAGTATGCATGACATATTTGCCACTGGACATTAAGCAACCAAGAGTTAAATTATGCGTTGCAAATTAACAAACCGCGTTGCACAAACTTATGCTAATCAAAGCATTGTCAATGTTGTGATCCAGCCATATTCATAGCTAGTCTGATATTCTTCTAACCATACTTTTTTTAATATTTTTTCTCTTTTCATTTCCAATCTTACTATAAAATTTCTGTTATTGTCCAAATGTAGGGAATTTCACAATATTGATGCAAATATTGATATATTTATATATTGATATTTCAATTTTAGACTCTGTCAGATTTTTTTTTAATAAATGGTGGTACAACAGGTCATGAGATATTAACTGTGGTGAATTAAGACTGGGGTTGTTTCCAATTAATACTTACACCTTTGAGTGTAATTATTTGAAAATCATGACATTTGATAATCATACTGACTCTTACTTGCCTATGGAAAGAATTGGAGTTATACCATTTAAAAAAAGTGTGGGAATCAACTTAGATCTATTAATACACATGTTGACCCAAATTTCGTTGAATAACAACTTACACAAGCATAAGATACTTATATAAAACAAAATTCTTATCAACTGATTCAATTGATGTACAAATACTTTTTCAAAATAATTCATAAATAGTAAATCATTATAAATTTTGATTTACAAAGGAACTATATGCAAGTGTATATCTAAAATAAAAGGGTTGTTCGTCCAATCTTTTCTAAATTCAAGGGCAAATAAAATGTCAAAAGTTGGCAGTTGATGATTAAAATGGTGTAGAAAGATTCTACAAATCATAAAAACACATTATAAGTTTCATGATATGTCTTCAACTTAGTATTCTGCACCATCTCCAACACCAGAGTGATCTCATAAATCCAGCATGGCTGAATCAATAAAACCACTGCAAGCAAAACGCATTTTTATTGTGCCATTCTTATTCTTATCTGGTGTCTATTTGAAAGCAGAAGTCATTGATATCATCTTTCACTGTGGATAGACAGGATAATGTTCCATGTCTTGGGCATTCGTCTTTACCAAACAGAATACCTTTATTTCCTCCAGATGTCGTTTGATCTGTTTTAGAATCCTGCAACCAAAACCAGACGTCTTTAATCATGTTTTCAAAAATTAAATTGCCATAAAAGTTATTGCCTTTACTGAGGACATATTATTGCTAAAAGTTTTGAGATGTTCTGGTGTTTTAAAGGGGACACGCTTTGCAAATAATAATAATTGAACACGTTTGGATCATTTAGGATTTTGAGGACACGTTTGGGCATTGTTGGGGAGATTGACACTTTTGGAAGTGTTACATATATCATGTCTGTCTGAATTTCAAAATTATAAAGAAATAACATTTTCATTCCACTTATTAAGCTTGCTCATGTTGTTTCATTTCTTGTTGTAGCAAGATGTTGGTAAGGAATCTTACTGCTATTCTCAATTTAAAAAAAACAATATCTTACTGGTTTTACATGTATGTACATGTATTGTAACACAATAGTCCAGCAATGTGAAAAAAACCCCTGAAAAGTCAGTCCTCATTCTGCAGTATGTTAAGGTTAAGCACAAAGTGGTTAAAGTGACAGTCTTGTCAATAGTCATGATAGTAATGGTCAAAATTTATTTTCACCATATTTTTTAAAGAATTTACCTTCCCTTTAGGTTACACATTCTGCAAAACTTCTCCAGCATTGTTGTGAACCTCATTTCTTCCACTGTTCTAGAAGTCAACAACAAATCATAAAGTATTTCTTTTAGGTCATTTTGAAAGTCATGTCTTCCAGCTTCAATATGATATATCAAAACTCTGAAAAAAAAATCCTAATTATTTATATAAGAACTGGACACTGATTAGAGGTGCATAGAATCTGCTGTCGATTTGGAAACTTGTTCTATAATCTATTATTAAGTCAGACTTGGTGTCTATTTGAGTCGTACCTGTACATATATGCAAAATCAAATAAATGGGGAATATGTCCATGGGACACAGATGATGCCCCCGCTAGCATATCATATAAAGTTATAAAGGGCAGGGTTTCCCCGAGTCAATTATTTTTTTCGCCAACTAACATAAATATATTTTTCGTTTAAAATTTTCCTTCTTTCTAACCCCCCCCCCCCCCATTTACTTTTTAAAAGATACTGTAAAAATAGCAATATAGAAATCATAATTTTGACTTCTGGGACACAAGATTCATCTTCAAAAGTTTATCGGATATATATTTCCCTTCCAGTTGAAGGATAAAGACTAAAGGCAGAGACTTTTCTTACTTTTGAACAGGTTTGGAACAACCCTCCAAATGTGGGATATCCCTTAAATAAGGGACTGTCCCTCAGACAAGGGATCATTTTGCTGTTGTAGAAAGGTAAAAAGAAAAATTTAGCTTTTTTTTAACTTAAAAGGGGAAAAATTCATTATATTTGGAACAACTTTTCTTAAAGAGGGGTCCACTTATTTTTAAAAATAAAGAAGATACATGTATAAGTCCAGGAATATTACAAAATTCTTGGACATGTTTTGACCATATAATACCAGATAGTTGTATAGTTCTTTGGGAAAAGTTTCTTCAAATGATATGAATATGTGCCCTTTTGTACTAAGAAGTGGTTTTTACAACAAAAATATTTTTTTTTTATCACTTGAAATTGATCCCTGATTTAAGGGATAGTCATTACATTGAAGGGTTACTTATTTGAGGGGTTGTTCCCAACCTGTTGAATATATTTCTTCATAACGACAGTTTTCTTTTCCGGACCATCGTAAATGAAAAAGTTGAGACGTAAAAATATGCTTGAAACACGTGCGTCGCCAAAACGAAAAATAAATAAGATGGATGAAATCAAATCATTATATATATTTCTTTCGCCAAATTCTTTCGCAAATGATGAATTTTAATCGCCACAATTTTTATTTTTTTGCAAAATGCGAAAATGGTGAACGCCAGCGGTAACCTTGAAAGGGACATAACTGAAGAACAGTAAAAGTGACGCTACTCAAATTTGTACTTGATCTGAGTTTTGTGGTTATATGTATTGTGTATAAGTTTTATAACATTTCGTTGAGGCAAACTGAAGGTAGAGAACGGAAACAAAAAATTCAGCAATTATTCCATTTGTAAAGGGGCATAACTCTAGAACAGTAAAAGTGACCCCACCAAAATTCAAACTTGATCTGTATTTTGTGGTATTAAGCATTATGTATAAGTTTCATAACATTTGGTTGAGGCTAACTTTAGTTAGAGAATGGAAATGAAAACTAGTATTTTTTCCATTTGTAAAGGGGCATAACTCTAGAACAGTAAAAGTGACACTACCAAAACTCAAACTTGATCTGTGTTTTGTGGTAATAAGCATTGTGAATAAGTTTCATAACATTTGGTTGAGGCAACCTAAACTAGATTTGATTTGATTTTTGGTGTTTTAACGCCACTTTTAAGCACCGCTTTTGGGCTATTTCGTGGCGGCCAATTTTTATTGGTGGAGGGAGCCGAAGTGCCAGGAGAAAACCACCGACCTGTGATAGGAAAACTGACAATCCTAGTCAATTTAGATTGGAGTCGAGTGCACCCGCACGAGCGGGGTTTGAACTCACAACCTCAGTGTTGACTGGCTAGTGATTACAATAGTAACTACTTAGACCACTCGGCCACTGAGGCCCCTCCTAAACTAGAGAATGGGAACGAAAAATTCAGCAATTTTTCCATTTGTAAAGGGGCATAACTCTAGAACGGTTTAAGTGACGCCACTGAAATTTAAACTTGATCTGTGTTTTGTGGTAATAAGCCTTTTGTAGAAGTTTTATAACATTTGGTTGAGGCAAACTAAAGTTAGAGAACGGAAACCAACTTTGGGACGTAAGCCAAAATATTTATCAAATGGAATTTATTTTAATATGTTGCATTAGAATGGAGATATCTGTATTGTATTTCGTTGCTAGGTAAACTCAATTTGTGACAGTCAAATCTACGTTTCACGAAGGCCAAGCTTAAAATACAATACAGATATCTCCCAATTACAGATATTTGAATTTTAATGAGGGCCGGTAAATAATGAAAACTTATAAATGTAAATAAAATGCTCCGCTGGGTGCAGCTTGATACGACCACAGAGGTCGAACCCTGAACAGTTGGGGCAAGTATGGACACAACATTCAAGCTTGATACAGCACTGAATTTGGATTGTGATTAAATATTTGACACAGCATAGGTTTCTGACACAGAATGAATGTGGTCTAAGAACTTAAAAATATTTTTAATTTACCTATTCAAACCATATCATTATTATTTGCTTTTATATATAAATCAGAAATAACCAATTTAAAATGGAAAATTTTAAAGAAAAAAAATGGAAAAAAAGGAAAAAAAAATCCCTCCCCCCAAATTTTTTGAACCCCCTTATGATTCATCACCCCCAAACTCAATCCCAGCCTTCCCTTTGTGGTATGGTACATTGCAGTACAATTTCAGAGAGATCCATATATACACTTGAACACAAGTTATTGTCTGGAAACTAGAAAAATGCTTGTTTTTAGGCCCCTTTTTGGCCCAAAATTCCTAAACGTTCAGGGCAATTACCCCCAAACTCAAACCAAGCTTTCCCTTTGTGGTATGGAACCTTGTAGTACAATTTCATAAAGATCCATACACTTACGCACAAGTTATTGTCCTAAAACTAGAAAAATGCTTGTTTTTTGCCCCTTTTTGGCCCCTAATTCCTAAAATTTTGAGGCAATTACCCCCAAAATCAATCCCAGCCTTCCCTTTGTGGTATGGTACATTGCAGTACAATTTCAGAGAGATCCATACACTTGAACACAAGTTATTGTCTGGAAACTAGAAAAATGCTTATTTTTGGCCCCTTATTCCTAAACGTTGTGGGCAATTACCCCCAAACTCATTTTCAGCTTTCCTTTTGTGATATGGAACCTTGTAGTACAATTTCAGAAAGATCCATACACTTACACACAAGTTATTGTCATGAAACTAGAAAAATGCTTGTTTTTTCCCCATTTTTTGGCCCCTAATTCCTAAAATTTTGAGGCAATTACCCCCATAATCAATCCCAGCATTCCCTTTGTGATATGGAACCTTGTGGTACAATATCAGAGAGATCCATACACTAACACACAAGTTATGTCTGGAAGTTACAAAAATGCTTACTTTTGGCCCCTTTTTGACCCCTAATTCCTTAACTGTTGGTACCATTATCCCCAAAATCAATCCCAACCTTTCTGTTGTGGTATTGAACCTTATGGTAAAATTTCATAGAGATCCATTCACTTAAACTAAAGTTAGAGTGCGAAAACCAATGTGTCTTCGGACGACGACGACAACGACGTTGACGCCAACGTCATATCAATATACGACCACAAAAATTTTTTTGCGGTCATATAAAAATTGAAAAAAAATGGTAACATTTGTCATTTCCATGTGTAAGGGCAATAACTCCCATAAGAAGTTGTCTGACAGTTTTACAGCTGTGAGGTTTAATTATGCATACAAATTTTCGAAAATGCTAAAAATATCACTGATACCTTTATCTTACATTCATTTAGAGTATTTTCCTGAAGAAATAACTGTGAAGAACTTCTTAAAAGTAATCGTGCTTTGAAAACGTACACAGATTTAACATATCCGTCTCTGGTCCATGTTTAACATTGTCAAGTCAACATCCAGTATTAGAAAAATGTGATTTTTAAAATATAAAGCAAAGTTGTTGAGAACATAATGTATGTCACCATGCTGGTGACGATTTGTCTCGGTGCTGAAGTGTCTAGAATGCTGCAAACTTGACACATTCAGTCAGGGGTACTACTTGTACAAGTTATTATTATCCACCCCTAGTTGATCCGGCCCTATAATAAAATAATAATGAATAATTAACTTCGGCGGATTTGGTGACACATCTGAATCAGTATAAATGGAATTTGTAAAAAGTATCGATGAATAATGACAGCAGGTAAGTGAAGGATGCCTAATATTACCTTTAGCATGTTTAGAGAAACATTCAGATGAATTATTTTAAATCGATACAAAAATGAGTAATCAGTATGATTTGTACAATTTGTTAAGCAGCATCGATATCAGTATATGAATATGAAGTTTTTTTCCATGATAACTCAGAATACAATTGGGAAAAGTTTATATTCAATTCCGACACATAGAAGAGATAAATAGATATTTACAATCCACTGGAACACATAATAATGTAATTACCATAATGATCATTAGTCTATACATTTGTAATTGGTTTGTTTATTCAACAATTGTCTGATGATCGTGAACCAAAGTAAGGCTGGTCGTAATCACTTAATTCAATTAAAATCATAGCTATTAAAATTTACTAAGAGCTAATTTCCTAATTCTTGTAGAGTAAAACTTTGGTGGCTTGCTTGCTTTGTTTGTATAAACTTTTAACTCAAGCTTTGACATCTTCAAACAATATATATAGGCATAGTTAAACCTGTATATATTATATTTACATTTAATTGGACGTTATCCCAATAAAATTGTACAATATACAAACAAAGCAAGTAAGTAAGCTAACCTGAAAGTCTTGCTCTACATGCATTAGGAAATTAGCTCTAAATAAACAATTCACAGGGCCGTAACTAGGCCTTGGGAACAGACGAGGCAGGGGTTTGGGAGCCGCCGATTGAGGCCCCCTGGCCGAAAATTGTAACATTATGGTTCGAAATATATCTTGTTACCTCCGTTGTTTGTATCATATTTATCGTTTTTGTTTCATATTTACCATATTAAGAACTGTAATAGTCTATCAGAGCCGGTTGACAGATATTTGCCTCGAATTTTGTACCATCAATTATATAAAATTTACAGTAGGTTATGTGTCTGATAGTAGAAAATGCGGGACAAGTGTGTGTGGTCAACGCTTCATTAAAAATAACACACATTTTCAATAACACTTTAATAAAGCGCAAAGAGTGGAACCTAGTCACTGTCTGTGAATGCTAGTTTAACCTTTCTTGTGCCACTATGATCCCATCATCTGACTACTTTCTTTGAATTGAATAATTAATTTTTTTTGCTAATTCTATAAACATGATAAATGCATGTGCGTATTGCTGTGTGTTTGTTTTTCTTACATTGGCTACAGGTATAGGGGAGGGTTGAGATATCAAAAAACATGTTTAATTTTTAGTTCATTTATATATTTCAGAGTTTTATAGTATGACGTCCATTATCACTGAACTAGTACACATTATTGTTTAGGGGCCAGCTGAAGCACGCCTCCGGATTCGGGATTTTCTCGCTGTACTGAAGACCCATTGGTGGCCTTCGGCTGTTTTCTGCTCTTCGGTCGGGTTGTTGTCTCTTTGACACATTCCACATTTCCATTCTCAATTTTATTACACCCGAATCAATAATGATACAAATTAAATACTCTCTAGTCACCTTTACCATGGTTAATTGTGCGACCGTCTTTATTTCGCAAGCCCAAAGTATTCCCACAATACTCCATGGAAATTCAAAGTATCAAGCAATCAAATTGTCATTCTGCCAAGGTCTTGTCCTGTCCGTTTAACATTTGAATGGAATAATCACATAACTTGCTCTCTATATATAGCTAAAAGAAAGCCTACTTCATGTACTTGCCGTTAAACCAAACAAATCCTCCATCCATCCAAAATAAATGTTTTGTTTTCGAATAGCAGCCAGGTTTGTAGCAAAACATTTGAAAATGCCTCAAATCTTCATTTTAATTTGAAAGAGAACTACATACAAATTGTGGGGTGTTTAGGTATTCATGTGTGATCTGTGAATGCTTCTTTAATAATATTAACCTAGCAAGGTGAAGAATTCGAACTATTTTAATTTTGATTTACTTTGCGAACTGATAACGTTGGAAATATCCATTATCAATAATTCATTTTCACGTGAAATAAATAATTACAGAACCAAATGCCGGTTTACTGGCGATGGTAATCAGATACAGAGATATTGATACCTTACGTTGAAATAAAAGTACAGAAGCTGCACGTCAACATAAATTACTATTCGAAGTATGCATTACTTAATTCTTGATGTTAAAATGCAAGGATGTGTTCTACCCTCTGCATGCATGCCTAACTTTCTCCATTTTCTTTTTTTCCCTTATTATTTTTTTTTGCCAGCAATTGCCTCGTCTGCCTCATTGTAGTTACGGCCCTGATTCAAGGTCTTTATAGTTGGATCTTTTATTAGAAGTTCTAATAACGTTTGTCAGGACCTCAGCAGGAATATCATCTCTTCCTGCTGCTTTTCGAAGATAAGCATGAAATACATGTACAGCTTTTAAGACTTCTTCTTATATCTATCTATAATAATATTCAAGATAATAACAAAAAACTGCAAAATTTTGTTAAAACTACCAATTTGGTGACAGAAACCCAACAATGGGTTGCTCGATTCGTCTGATAATTTCAGGGCCGATAGATCTTGACCAATTGAACAATTTAACCCCATGTCTGATTTGCTCTAAAAGCTTTAGTTTTTAAGATATAAGCTAAAAACTGCATTTGACCCCTATGTTCTATTTGTAGCCATGGTGGCCATGTTTGACGATGGATCAAAACTTCGGAGTTTCAGAGAAGAAGATTTTTGAAATAGTTTATGACAACAGACGACGACTGACGCCAAGTGATGGCATAAGCTCACATGGGGCCCTTTGGGCTCCGGTGAGCTAAAAAGGGAGACAATGCCATTTAATATAAGGCAAAATAATAAAAAAAATCTTAAAGATCCATTATCTTTAATAAATATGTACAATGATGTATGGAAAAGTTTGACACAAGCTTTCTGTTTTTTTGGTGGTTTTTTTTCGATTTTAAAGACTGAAAATAAAATATATTGACTCTGAAATTAAAATTTTGGGTTATATATTAAAACCACTATATACTCATGATACTGCACAGACTTTAAACCCATTGACAAGGATGATGGTGTCTAAGTAACTGCAATTGAGAATACCGAACATGTTGAATGAGGGCATTTTTTTAAAGAAAATACTTTTAACCATGCTATTGACATTCTTATCTTTATCTATAATCATGATAATCATATTTTTTACTTTTCTTTATTTTCTGTTTTTTTATATTTTTGGTTTATTTTTCTATTTCAACAATTTCTTTATCATATTGGCTTGAATTTTTTTATTTTGTTCATCTAAAGTTCCTTTCTTAGTGGTCCATTTATAAACATGATAAAACATCATTTCCTTAAGCATGTTAAGTTCTAGTTCGTTAATATATGATCATGATGATAAACCTGTCATCCATACATGTTTACTACGCATGGATGGACTTACCGGACAACCGCACTTCTGTGAAAACAGAGGTGACCCATTTGTCTGATTGATTTTCAAATCTTTTCAGATATATGATTGCGGAAATAAGATAATAAAAAATGTACGTAACATTGAGTTTTCAGTGAATAGATTCAAATTTGATGCAATTTTTATATAATAAAGAAGAAATATACACGATCAAAGCCTTAGATGGGCGGAGTTACCAGACTGCATCGTATTTTCATTTTTATTCCCTATAAATATTTTTTTATATTGGGGCGGATCGACTAAGGGCCCGATTGACATGAAAGCTACAAGAAGTACCTGACTGAGATTGCAGTAGTGAATGAAAAGATGCTAATTTTAATTTTACCTGGAACTACTACCCACAGTTTTCATCAACTCTTCATCTGAATCAGCATCAACTTTGGGAAGAAAGTTTTCAACAAGATATTCTCTTACTTTAACATGATTTTCCTGTTCAAGTTCTTTGACACTTGTGTCAAATCATGAAATGTCAAGTTAGCATTCAAATAATCCATCATCTTGATTAAATCTGCATCGAGGGGTGGCAAATCTGCATTTATATTTGAAAACATGTCGAAAAATTCATCAATGCTCTTCGTGGATGAAGGGTCGATCCAGTTCCAATTAATCTGAAGATTTTCTAGTTCGCTCATCGTCCAATCACTTGTTTCACGCGGAATGTAACTACTCAGTGCAGTTAATTTCTTCTGTTTATCGCTTGATGCGGAATAATAATCGCCATCTGATTCTATTTGTCCACAGTGGATCATCTTCTGAATTTGAGCGGTGCCGTTTGCGTTTAGGTTTCGAGGATGACGCCATGTTGTGCCGAGGATAATTGTTCTCAACTCGGACTACCAGATATCTCGGCCCAAAACAAACTCGGCCTATTACAAAGTCGGCTTCACAAACTTGGTCTATAACAGACTCAAACTATCACAAACTCGGACTGCTAAAAAGATATAAGTATGATAAACGAAATAAGTATTATTTTATTTGAAATTAACTATCAGTACTTTATTTTAAATAAAGTAATGGGTTAAAGTGAGGGTACCCAAATTGCACCCATTTCAACAGTTTTTCACCTACATTTATTCAAGGAACAGACAAAAATTTTCATTCTGTGTTTATTGTAGACGTATCCATTTTACTAGTTCAACACTGAATCACAGAAAAATGGGTTTGAACCTTCCTCCAAACAACCCAAGAATCTGTAATGAAGAGTATCTAAACTTGCAAGTGAATATAGTTCATCAGCAATGTTTCTGAGCTTATTTTGTCAAAATTGAAGCAAACTTGCCACTAAAAGCGTATTATTATTTCACTGTTTGACTATGATTGAACTTGGCCAAAAATAACTATATCTTGCTTTATTATATTTCTTGTAGCTAAAACCCTTTAAACATTGTATTTTTAAAATCATTTGAGATAAGGTATCTTCTGGTACCATGCAGTCATACTTTATCAATTTTTTTTTTTATCTTAAGTGAATTTTGGTGGAATTAGACCTTCAATTATTCTCTGAACAATTTTTTTAAAATTTTTTTCCCCCGTCTTATTCTTTAATTTCTTGCAAGGTTTTCTTGTTTCAAAAGATGTTTCCAAGTTATTTCATATATGATATCAAGCAGATTATACATTATTGAAACTGACCCAGTTTAACTGAACGCCTTTCTTCGTAAGAGTTATCTCCTCAAACACTATTTTTCTTGTTATCTCTACTACTTTAATTCACAACAGTAAAGACCATGACAAAACTACTTTCCCACATTGCTATTAAATCCTCAGGATGTTGACCACAATTTTGACCAGATAAATAATTAAAATGGCAAGGTGCACAACTATAGATGTCATGATGGAAGTACACCACTAATTCATGGCCCCATTGCTTTCTATGTTAAATTCCTCAATTTCAAGCACTCAGGCACAGCTCTTTTGTTTTAAGTTCAAATAAAATGACAATCATTGCATGTCAAAGCAACACTTCATGGTGTCTTGTACTGAAAAAATCAGCATACCTTTAATGGCATACAAGAAAGAACTGGTTCCCAAAACTTCGGATGTACCAAAATAGGTACTTCAGATCTGACAAACAGGCAAAATGTACCCTCTTTTTTAAATTTCATGCAATTTTTTTTATTATTAAAAATTATAAGTCAAAAAGTGTTCAACAATGATCACCAGTCATTCAGCTTTCATTTGATATCAAAATTGCCTAAATATTCTACATATTTTGAAAGTTACACCCATGCGTAGGAACTATTTTGTGTTAAATATGTACTACTTTCTGGTAATGGTATGTGCTTTCCGGCCGGGCCCGAATTAGTGGTGTTACACCTATAACAGAACCAAACTTGCTATATTGACTTCAGCATTTCTTAATTTCATTCTATGATCTATTCTAAGCAATAAAAAACTTATAAAGCTTTAGTCCAAACACTATTTTACTGATTTTAAGCTCAAATTGGACTGGTAGTAACATATGTGTTATGCAAAAAAAACTGCATATAGGGATATTACCAATGGCCAGTATGATTTTTTTATTCTCAATATCGTGGTTCTATTTGTTAATTTAAACTAGGAAAACAATGTGCTTACCAATAGTCATATTTTTGTCAGAGGATGTTCATTTAATAAAAATATATTAGTCCAAACCTAAGACATAATTGAGAATATTGTCCCCCCTTTTTTCTTCAAATTAGAAAAGGGACATTTTTGGTACAAACCAAACTTCTGTGGTACAATATAGATTATTAAGAGCAATTTATATATCCCTCAGCTGGATAACATGCAAAACTGGTTCAAAATTGCATGTACAGTGAGATTTTGGAATTCTTATAGGAGTATATATACTAATTGCCTAGATTGTAAATTAAAGGCTACCATAAGAAAACCATTAAAACTTGAGAAATCATTGGATTATTCGACCAAGAGCTATTTTTTTACAATAAACAAGTCATAATATACATGTTTTATTGATTTAAATCCCAAATAATGCAAAAACAAGAACTTGGGGTGACAAGTCTTAACTGCATGCATGTTGTATGACCATAAAAGGCTAAAATACCTTATTGTGTCAATTTAAGGGCTGAAATTTGGCATAAACAGAATTGTTCATCCACAAAAGTTGATTAAACATGATTACTGACATCAAATATGACCAATTTTCATTGGAATAGGTAAAACTTCTAAAAATTGAATTTCTGATGATTCTCTGTAATAGGAACTACACCACTAATTCATGGCCCCATTGCTTGCTATGTTAAATTCCTCAATTTCAAGCAGACACAGCTCTTTTGTTTTAAGTTCAAATAAAGTGACAATCATTGCATGTCAAAGCAACACTTTATGGTGTCTTAATGTACTGAAAAAATCAGCATACCTTTAATGGCATATAAGAAAGAACTGGTTCCCAAAACCTCGGATGTACCAAAATAGGTACTTCAGATCTGACAAACAGGCAAAATGTACCCTCTTTTTTAAATTTCATGCAATTTTTTTTATTATTAAAAATTGTAAGTCAAAAAGTGTTTTACAATGATCACCAGTCATTCAGCTTTCATTTGATATCAAAATTGCCTAAATATTCTACATATTTTGAAAGTTACACCCATGCGTAGGAACTATTTTTGTGTTAAATATGTACTACTTTCTGGTATGTGCTTTGCGGCCGGGCCCGAATTAGTGGTGTTACACCTATAACAGAACCGAACTTGCTATATTGACTTCAGCATTTCTTAATTTCATTCTATGATCTATTCTAAGCAATAAAAAACATATAAAGCTTTAGTCCAAACACTATTTTACTGATTTTAAGCTCAAATTGGACTGGTAGTAACATATGTGTTATGCAAAAAAAACTCCATATAGGGATATTACCAATGGCCAGTATGATTTTTTTATTCTCAATATCGTGGTTCTATTTGTTAATTTATACTACGAAAACAATGTGCTTACCAATAGTCATATTTTTGTCAGAGGATGTTCATTTAATAAAAATATATTAGTCCAAACCTAAGACATAATTGAGAATATTGTCCCTCCCTTTTTTCTTCAAATTAGAAAAGGGACATTTTTGGTATAAACCAAACTTCTGTGGTACAATATAGATTATTAAGAGCAATTTATATATCCCTCAGCTGGATAACTTGCAAAACTGGTTCAAAATTGCATGTACAGTGAAATTTTGGAATTCTTATATGAGTATATACTAATTGCCTAGATTGTAAATTAAAGGCTACCATAAGAAAACCAATAAAACTTGAGAAATCATTGGATTATTTGACCAAGAGCTATTTTTTTAAAATAAACAAGTCATAATATACATGTTTTATTGATTTAAATCCCAAATAATGCAAAAATAAGAACTTGGGGTGACAAGTCTTAACTGCATGGATGTTGTATGACCATAAAAGGCTAAAATACCTTATTGTGTCAATTTAAGAGCTGAAATTTGGCATATACAGAATTGTTCATCCACAAAAGTTGATTAAACATGATTACTGACATCAAATATGACCAATTTTCATTGGAATAGGTAAAACTTCTAAAAATTGAATATCTGATGATTCTCTGTAATAGGAAGTACACCACTAATTCATGGCCCCATTGCTTGCTATGTTAAATTCCTCAATTTCAAGCAGGCACAGCTCTATTGTTTTAAGTTCAAATAAAGTGACAATCATTGCATGTCAAAGCAACACTTTATGGTGTCTTAATGTACTGAAAAAATCAGCATACCTTTAATGGCTTATAAGAAAGAACTGGTTCCCAAAACCTCGGATGTACCAAAATAGGTACTTCAGATCTGACAAACAGGCAAAATGTACCCTCTTTTTTAAATTTCATGCAATTTTTTTTATTATTAAAAATTGTAAGTCAAAAAGTGTTTTACAATGATCACCAGTCATTCAGCTTTCATTTGATATCAAAATTGCCTAAATATTCTACATATTTTGAAAGTTACACCCATGCGTAGGAACTATTTTTGTGTTAAATATGTACTACTTTCTGGTATGTGCTTTGCGGCCGGGCCCGAATTAGTGGTGTTACACCTATAACAGAACCAAACTTGCCATATTGACTTCAGCATTTCTTAATTTCATTCTATGATCTATTCTAAGCAATAAAAAACATATAAAGCTTTAGTCCAAACACTATTTTACTGATTTTAAGCTCAAATTGGACTGGTAGTAACATATGTGTTATGCAAAAAAAACTGCATATAGGGATATTACCAATGGCCAGTTTGATTTTTCTATTCTCAATATCGTGGTTCTATTTGTTAATTTATACTACCAAAACAATGTGCTTACCAATAGTCATATTTTTGTCAGAGAATGTTCATTTAATAAAAATATATTAGTCCAAACCTAAGACATAATTGAGAATATTGTCCCCCCCCCCCCCCCTTTTTCTGCAAATTAGAAAAGGGACATTTTTGGTATAAACCAAACTTCTGTGGTACAATATAGATTATTAAGAGCAATTTATATATCCCTCAGCTGGATAACTTGCAAAACTGGTTCAAAATGTACAGTGAGATTTTGGAATTCTTATATGAGTATATACTAATTGCCTAGATTGTAAATTAAAGGCTACCATAAGAAAACCAATAAAACTTGAAAAATCGTTGGATTATTTGACCAAGAGCTATTTTTTTACAATAAACAAGTCATAATATACATGTTTTATTGATTTAAATCCCAAATAATGCAAAAATAAGAACTTGGGGTGACAAGTCTTAACTGCATGCATGTTGTATGACCATATTAGGCTAAAATACCTTATTGTGTCAATTTAAGAGCTGAAATTTGGCATAAACAGAATTGTTCATCCACAAAAGTTGATTAAACATGATTACTGACATCAAATATGACCAATTTTCATTGGAATAGGTAAAACTTCTAAAAATTGAATTTCTGATGATTCTCTGCAAAAGGAAGTA